CTTTTCTTCAAAAAACTGGGAGAAAAAATGCCATTTTTTTTAGTGAAAACTGAAAATTGACATATTTTGTCCGTTGGCACCAAAATTAGAGTTCATCACCAGAAATATTAAAGAAAATGAGACAAAAAGTGCAGAATAATTTGGGCAAAAAAGTCTGGCGGTGAAAAGGTTAATAGATTGGCGACTAGAGTTCACACAATACTGTCCAATGGCAGAATGCGTAATAAACTACAGAACAAGTGTCATCAATACTACATTTATCTTGGCTTCAGATATGATGAAGTTGTACAACAGGGAATGTCAGCAATGACAGGCTATTTGAATAATAACATTTCTGAATATAAAAAATATTCATCAATTTTTGTAATGGATGTTTTGTCCTGCAGAAGCGGTGAATCATTCATTACATACTTGTGGGTATGAGATATCACCTCTATATTAATTACATACATTCAGTACATTGCATTAAACACTGGAAAAAGGGAAAATATTAAAACTTGGTTTAGAATTCAACTTACCCCATGACATTGACGATATCCATCAAAGCATGCCTTTGACTAAAATAAAAAAATTAGAAAACTATTATTAAGCATTGATCATTCTACAGTCTCTGAGATTGGTCCAATTATTATACTTAATGGGTTTATACAAGGTATATATATATCATGATCTTTGTGTTTAAAATTGTAGTATTTTAATAATGAAATAAAAGTGTGAATTTGAGTAAAAAAAAATGGTTGCCCATCAACAATCAATAATTCAATTTTCATTGTTGTGCCACAATACTTTTCTCTATGTAAACAATGTTGGCCTAATTGACATATCTGCATTGTTGCTCTGGAACAGCATTCATTGAAACGAAATGGCCACCAGTCAGCCATTTTAAAATTAGTCTGCAAAACAATGCAACATGCATCAAAGTCTCATGATGTCTAAGTTTTAATGACAGAAATGTTTGACTGCAAAACCATAGGACTGCTGTAAACCTAAACGTTATTAAATTATGTACTAGAAATTCAATGGTTTAGGAGGTTGAGTCACTCATTAATACAAAAAAATAGGTACATACCTGTTGCCTGTTGAATTCAGCACCTGCGAATGCTTTATCCTCATCGATAGCAGCACACAGACCTTCGTTGTTCATGTTTCTTATGTCATGGGCTGAAAGTACATTGCTACCGCAAGAACTGGCGGGAATTGATGTCAGGAACTCCTGCACCTCTGCGTCAGACAGTTGTTCAGGACGGCCATTTGGATCAAACTGTTGGCGTACTTGATCACAGATATCTTTCCGTGCCTGCATGAAAATCAAACAATAATTACAAATAGAGAAATATGAATACTGATTATATTTTTAGTACCATTAAGTATAATATTACCTTAATGTTGAATAAACATATCTAAACTATGAAAGAGGGAAATTAGGCTAACTTTGAGTAATTCCAGTAACACAAATTTATTGGCTAGTATCTTTAATGCAAACAATTGTATGTAAAACTGATTTTACACAAACAGAATGCACTTGAAAGAATTTTACCAGCTTGTCAAAAATCTTATCTGTCAGAGAGAATTTATCCAAATTACAGAGTAATAACATAAGGACTTACTTACCCCACTGCTCATAAAAAAATCTATACGAGTACGGAGTCTTTCATAATCACGTCTAGCTTCAGAACCTTCTACTTCATTGGCAATAGCAGTACTAACAGTTTCTCTGGCAGCAGCAGCTTTTTCTGGACTAAGTCGTGCTATGATGAAACCACCAAGACTAAAAAAATATGCATAGAAAATCATGCATGATTCTTTGTTGCGATTGGTCAATTGTGATCACATGGGGTTTACATACTCATTAATGTAAACACATTAATCACTCACTGATTTTTAAATTTCACAAGTTTAGAATAATAATAATAAGACTTGTTGCTTTCCAAAAATAATAACTCTATCTTTAAAACAATCTTCCCAATGAAATATTACTTTACATTTCAACAATATAAACACCCAATTTGGAAAAAAAAACTAACAACGTCGCATGAAAACTACATAGGTTCACAGTTGATGTTAGCACAGTTCTGTATGGAAAAGATACAAGACCCCCCCCCCCCCCCGAAAAAAAGGGGATAAATTTTCAACATATTTCTGGCCTATAATATAGGCACATCTCCAAGAAAGTGCATGCATGCATGTAAATATACAATTGCATTTATTGAATAATGTATCATTCAAATACGACTTGTATTTTGACCATATATAGACACACCTGTGTCATTTACATAAGTGCATACACTTCTAAAGCAAAAACGGTATCACAAACTAATTTTATTTTATTTTTATATTAAAGCTTTGGGTTGTCAGGGAACAAAAGATATGTCAAATAATCAAAATAAAACACTTTATACCATGCAGCTTTACCAATTAAGATTTGAATGTCATTAACTCGTGAGAATATTCAAAAATCACTGTGAAATATAGACTGCTCAGAAATCTGGACAATAATTATTGAATTACATGTATACATGAACCGTCTAATCTGTATTAGAAGCCGCATCCCTAATAAAAGTTGCACCCATTCTTTTCAAATAACTGAGAACCAAATATTCATCTTTTCTCACATGTGTAGATAGATGCTCTAATAGAAGCCACATACACTCTGTTGCATTGTACCATTTTAATAGAAGCTGGGTTTCTAATACAGATTATACAGTATATACTGCTTACTTCATGACATTCATTATATCAGTCAAATCATATGGATTGTTAGGATCCTCAATGGCATCCACAATAGCTCTAACACATTCAGCCTTCCCAGAGAAGTCAAGTCTACCAATATGCTCTATGGTGTTTCTCAGCTGTAACAAACAAATTTATGATTATAAACAAACATCTTATTTCCTGGAGATAGAGTACTTCATTGCTGTTCGATGGAACAGGTTCACTTCTCTCTCAATAAGAAATTGGGACATTATTTGAAAAATATTTCCTAATCCGCTTCACAATATGAAGATTAAATGCATTTTGTAATGTACAAAACCAAGTATGTAAGATGTTAATTTCAGTGCAAGCTCTAATAAAATTTTATAAATACAAAAAAAATGTCTTTGTCATTCATTTCATTCAGAGGCATTTACACTATGAGAACCGCTCTAATACCAAATTACTCAGAAGGTGGAGGGCTGCATGGAGAATGATCGATTCCCCGAATGGAGACTATCATTCCCACAAAATTTGTCCTCGAGTTGACTTTTGATTTAATTGGCCCAAGAAAGTACAAGATGAAAACTGTTTTGCAGATGCATGCTAATAATAACATGGTTTTCTGCTGTTTTTGTAATAGTCAGTCATCTATATACAGATTTACGTTTATCAACTTAATTGATAGCCATTGCAGTACAATTTGTGTCCAATAAAAATTTATGGTCAGTCATAATGATCGACTCGTTTATTTGGTGACTTTTCCGATCGAAATAAACCATAATGGGTCATTTGTGTCAAGGACTGATTATGTGATGTTGTAAATGCGGGCAACATTTCCAATATTTTATTGTTGACCATAGCAATCTGCACATTATTCTGAATAAATTAATAAATAATGAATTAACTTACCACATTTTTACGGATATTTCCACATATATGACCTGGTAATTCAGTGAAAAGTGTTCCTAACAACTGAAGGTCATCACTAGTCCAAGTATTTGGTTCACCTTTGGCTTGGATAAATTTGGTTAACAATGCCTGAAGAGCCATCCTGTCAATTTGCATTCTGAACTGGTTGATCAGATTAATCCTAAATGATAAAACAACATTATTTTACCATTTCATTCTTTCTGTTTTGATATTGAAATATTTATTTCAGACAAATGGTCAATACAAAATTGAACAAATCAAGAAAATCTAGCTATCTAAAGTAATCTATAATTTAACCAATCTAATCTACCGGTATCTAATTTATCATGTAGTTTATTTTATATTGCAGTTTATAATCTATCTAATTTTTTCAGCAACAATTATCAAACATTAAACTTTAATTCTACACTAGGAGTTTTTTGAAATTAACAACAACAAAACATACTAATACCAGGTACTATTATATATTACAGAGAACCATTAAACAAAACTATTTACTATTACATACCACAGAGAACTATCAACCAAACATATTTACTATTACATACCACAGAGAACCTTCAACGAAACCTATTTACTATTATATACCACAGAGAACCATCAACCAAACCTATTTACTATTCTATACCACAGAGAACGATCAAACAAACCTATTTACTATTATATACCACAGAAAACCATCAACCAAACCTAATTACTATTCTATACCACAGAGAACCATCAACCAAACCTATTTACTATTATATACCACAGAAAACAATCAACCAAACCTATTTACTATTATATACCACAGAAAACCATTAATCAAACCTATTTACTATTATATACAAAAGAGAACCATCAAGCAAA